ATTGGGCATCTCAAGGTAAATTATATCGGTGAAAGTGCCATTATATAAATTCTATAATAATACGAAATCAATAGATTAAGATTTTGGTTATGGGAAAATGATGGTAGGACTCATACCTTATAAGTATTTGTTTCGAATCAAGAAGAAAATAGTGAGAAATTAATTTTTGATGGCTAGGCCAGTTCAATAACTACTTTAAAATTTCCTTCCTAAAGAGTTTCTAAAATCAGATTTTTCAATAAAGGAGGTAATACAGTAAATTCCCATATGTCTTTTTATAAAATATAAGCCTTTTATTCATATGAAATGCCAAAATGAAATCTTGATATTGACTATTATAAAATTATTTTATAAATAATTTGTTTAAAATCAAACTAGTTCTTTTATTATCTTATTTAAAAAATCGAATTATTAGATTTTGTTATCTTCATAATTAACTAGAATTAATTTTACTTCAAAAGAATATTTTATGTTTTAAAGAAAATTACCATAGTTCCATTACATAATGATTTATGATATTTACAATTTTCTATTTTTAAAAGTTAACCCTTATTTCAAGAAAAATCAAGCTAACAAAAATCGAAATTTCTAAAAATTACTTTTATTTGAAAATAACTTTAAATATATTATTCATTTTTGGTGATTATATATTATTAAAAAACTTCCATAATCTATATAGATTATGCTCCATATTTTACAATAATATAGGTTTTTATTCAGAAATTTCAGTATCTTTTTATATTTTATAATGAATTATATAAATTTAGAAGAGTTAAATTTTTTTGAAGTAACAGATAAAAGCAAATACATTATAATAACATTTTCATTGTTCCAAAAGAGGCATATAATATTATGATCATGTTTATCTATTGATTCATAAATTACAATATTATTTTAACAGAACTAAGTTAGAAAATCACAAAAATTTAGGATCTTTATTAAGATTTAATAATTAAAAAACAATTTTTAGATGATATTAAACTTCTAGTTGAAGTATATTGTTTCTGAACTTTAAGAGGAATTTATTTATGGAACAGTCTTAGATGCTCTAAATAATAAATAATGAGTAACTACTTTGTTGTAGTAGTATTGAGTATATGCTTCTCTAGGACTATTTATTGAATCATCACTTTTTTTATGAGGACATAATTGTTTGTTATTTTTTTCATATTGAGAATAAGCTAACCAAAACGCAAGAAACCTTAAATAATACTTTGATTATTTCAATAAGGCCCTGAAAATTCTATAAATATATAAGATTATTTTAAACATTACTCTTCAAATTTGTGCACTCGAACTTTTAATTTAAATTAAAAACTATGATAATATATTGTATCAGGAATTAATAGTAGTAAATATTAAATTTTTGAGCAATTAACCATGATGTAAAAAAATACTTAATTATAAGTATTAAAGGTGGCTTATTTTTATTTCTTAAATAAATTTTGCATTTTCATCTTTATATTTAATTAAATTTGATTTCAAAGTATTCATTAAAAGAAATCCAAAAATATAATGAATATTGTTAAAATGTATCACAGTTGTCATCCAATAACTAAAGAGGTACTTTATTCCTAGATTGGTTAAATATGGATTCCTTATAATTACATTAAAATTTTGAGTGAATCTTATATTAAGAGTCAATTTAACCCTGATTTTCTAATATTGCATTTAGATTTATTTTAAAGCATATTTATAATAAAATGGTTAAGGAAGCTTTTTACCAAGACAAGAATGATGAAATTATTGATACCTTTTATTAATATTGAGTTGGTTTAACTTTTTAGTTACTCCTAGTTTAAGGATTCCTTTTAGAATAGTATCTTAACTAATAATAATATTGAAAATTATTTATTGCTCTTAAACATTCTGTTAACAAACATATTAGTAATTTGAAATAATTTTGTGAAAATTATGAATATACTTTTTAGTAAATTTATGAATTATCTTCAAATAAAAAGTGAGATTTATTTTGGAAGTTAAAAATGAAAAATATATAGTCATAATGATTTCGCTTTAAACTTAAAAACAAAATTATATTGATGAAAAAATTTAATAAATTGAAAAA